TATACCTTTTGCGATAGGTATTGCCCAAATAGAGTGTGTTGATAACATGGTTGCTGAGACAATTGGGTTGGTTTTATAAAGAAAACAGAGACTATTCATTTAACATAATGAATAAGGGTAATCTGTGTTTGTATTGAATTTTCAGTCATGCCAAATGGAAATAATGAAAAATGGGATTTTTGCACATAATTGGATGATTGCAGCTAACAGCTTTACCTTATTAACAAAGCTAACAAGAGACTCTACCACTTTGCTGAATCACTTTCTGTGACAAGGAGCAGTAAAGCACAACCCTTGTGTAGCACTCCAAAGTAGGAAAGTAGAGACTGCATATGTAATGAGCAGATGTTTTAATTTATATCTTTATCTAAAAGAAACAAAAAGCAATATATTCTCTTTAAGGAAAGAAAATAACTTAAAGTCTATGGTAAGATAGAGAGAGAGAGAGCAAGAGAAAGGTATAAAATACACAATTCTCTTCTGTTTAGAAAAACGCAGTCTAGAGAATCTTTTATGAGATGGAAACGTTAGGGATTTTTGTCATGCTAACTAAATGTAAAGAGGAAGGAGGTAATACTAGGTAGAGCTTTTTTGTTCCTCTTGGAGGGAAATCATCACTGCTGTTAAATACAAAACAGCTTAAATGTGCAAGTTGAAATGAAAGAGCATTGCTTTTTTCTCTATGTGTAGCTCAATCACAGGGATTCTGGTTAAGTGTACCCATACAGAACATTTACTGCACTTTATAGAAATAGCAGAAATGGTTTGGGAAGTGCTCGACCTGGACACAGTGGGAACCGCTATTTTCAGTCTATAGTTTGTCAGTTATTTGTTATAGTTCTTTTATAGGCTTCTAGGTTTTTTTACATCTATATACCAAGGTCACTAAGCACAATACAGCAACAAAGAGGCTAGTAAAAAAAAAAAAGTTTTATTTTTGTCTTTATTAATACTTGTAGGCAATCCTAAATAATACTTGTATTAATTAATAAATACAAATACAGTAGGCCTTTGAATTTTACAACTTCATATCACTGGTTAGTGTTTTTTGGTGCTGACATCTACAGTATACACTGGAACAGTTTTACTTTTGATTGCTTATATACTAGGCACCATATATGGTTCATAAAGGGGATATATATATATATATATATATATATATAAATAATTTTTTTTTTTTAATTTATTTATTTATTTCTGCTTGGGGACAGACTCATGCTGCATTTGCTTGATGCCTAAGCATGGTTTGCTTAGTAATGGTATACAGTGATTGTGCTATGTTAATTTTGTTATTCTCAGATCTCAGATCTATCCAAGTGAATGTAATTCATTCTTTGTGGTCTCTAATTACATCACATAACACATGCATAACACCCACAATGCACCTAGTGTGCAGATGAGCTTTGTCTAGGCTTCAGGTCATATAAGGTGGTTCAGGAGTTGTTTTTATTCATAAACAGAAGTGTTGCTTTTTACTCAGAATAATATTTTTTATATCGTAATGCTAAAGTAAGTGCTACTGATTTATGTGAAGAATGAATTTTAAAGTGTACTTCAAGTTAGTGTTATAGAAGAATTACAGATATAGATACATTATACATAGTTACATTGGTCCAGCTTGGATTAATTTATTTATTATACATATTTTGTACCTGGTTGATGCCCCTGGAAGCTGGAAATCACTGTAGTAGATACTGAAGGTGTGAAGAGTGATGCTCTGCATTTTCTGAAACAAAGCATTCTTTGAATGTGAGTGGAAAGGTGGGGCAATAATGTCATGCTTTCCACCTCATCCAATCAGACAATGCTTTGCATTCATTCAGAAAATGCAAAGCATCCTCTGAATGGTGCGAGAAGGAGAAGAAGCGCCTCTAAGTGCAGTATATCACTTTATTCAGGTGTAAAGGTAGGAACACTCACATAAATAAGGTAAGTATCAGCAGAAAAACTGTGGTTGGTGTAACCATCAGTAAGGTGGGTATCTAGGGTGAAAAACTGTCATCTGTGTGGGGTATGGAGAAGTCAGCGTGCCACTGGAGCAGCATGGTGGCTGGAGGGGAACAGTTGTGAAGCTGGCCGGCGTGAACGTCCTCCCTCAGGGCCGGGTGGAACGCACGCTGGAATGCAGCGGCGGCGTGGCCGTGATGACATCAGATACCCAAGATGCACTGCGACGTGTTTCAGAGCATGCGCTGGCCAGGAAAGGCGGAAGTGCGCTCTTATCAGCAGGGGGAGGTGGAAGTACGAGGTTGAATATATAGAGAGTGGGGGGCTAATTAATCAATTAACCAATGGGATGAGTACACATACAATGAAAAAAGTAATGGACCATTGTTGTAAGGTGATAAGAGGATTAAAGTGGATGGAAAGTCACAGCTATTGTGAAATGTCAGAAAAGAAAAATGTAATGAATTTTTATTGATTTTTTCCCACATCATCATTTCCAGATCATTATACTCTTGTACCAATTATCATTAACTATTTTTCTGTTGATCACTTATTTTGAATAATTAATAAATTTCATTATTATCATTTATTTTCTAGTTTATTTTTATATTTATTTTTATTTTTCCAATTTACACATTACCTTATATCTCATTCAACGTGTACACACACAAAAATGATTTATAATTTGCATTCGCACAACGCCCCCCTTTTCTAAATGTTTTTATTAATTTTTTTAATTTTAATTTTTATTTGTACCATATTTTTCTCTTTTCTTTTTTTTTCTATTTTCATGTATTTCATTTACTCTTTTCAAATTTTCCCACATTTTTTCATTACATTTTGTATTTTCTTTTCTTTTTTTTTTTCTGACGTTTCACAATGGCCATGACTTTCCAACCACTTTAATCCTCTTATCAGCTTACAACAATGGTCCATTACTTTTTTCATTGTATGTTTACTCATCCCATTGGTTAATTGATTAATTAGCCCCCAACTCCGTATATATTCAACCTCGTACTTCCAGCTCCCCCTGCTTGATAAAGGAGCGCACTTCCGCCTTTCTCGGCCAGCGCATGCTCTGAAACGTGTCGCTGTGCACCTTGGGTATCTGACGTCATCATGGCCATGCTGCCGATGCGTTCCAGTGTGCATTCCACCCGGCTCTCAGGGAGGACATTCACGCTGTCTGGCTTCACAGCTGTTCCCCTCCAGCCACTACGCTGCTCCAGCGGCACGCTGACTTCTCCTTACCCCACACAGATGACAGCTCTTCACCCTGGATACCCACCTTACTGATGGTTACACCAACCACGGATTTTATGCTAATACTTACCTTATTTATGTGAGTGTTCCTGCCTTTACACCTGATTAAAGTGATATACTGCACTTAGAGGCGCTTCTTCTCCTTCTCTCATTCTACAGAGTCTGCTACAGTCTTTTTGGAAGCCTTGCCCTCGGTGCCACATGGACCCCCCCGCCACGCTCATCTTCCTCATACAGCTATAAACACCACCATCACCCTATACCAGGATTACCCAGGACTTTGAGCAGTTTTTGCGCTGATCACCCCCCCCCCCCCACTATTTCCTCTGAATGGTGCCCCTGCCAAGCATCTAGAGTTGGGGTTTACAGTGTAGTTTAATATTAAGTAATAGGTTAGGTTTTAGGGTAACATCGCTTAGGGTTTTATTGCTGCCATAAAACATACTGGCCAGCCCATCTCTCTATATTCTTACAGGTAAATAAATAGTCAATCAAGCTCTATGATAGGAAGTGGATCAATAACAATGTGTTATTGACTGAATTTGCCAGCTCCGCCGATGATCCTTCTATTGGTAATAGTGAATCGAAGCATTATAGTGGCATTTTCAGATACCATATAGGCAGTACCAATCTCATCCAAACCTGACAACCTAAATTTATTGTAAAAGACTGTTCTTACATTGCCCTTTCTCTTTTTTTAGGATAATTGCAGGGAGCAAGACTATTGAAAATGAAAACACGGATAATGGCTAATTTTGAACATTTATTTAAAACACTTTTAAGAGTTTGTAATGAATAGTGTTAAGGCTTTCAATGGAAAAAAAAATATTCTCTACATTCAAGACCACCAGTGTTATATTGTGGTTTGAAATCTTTCAGTACATGTTGACATTTGCTTTCTTTTAGAAAGGACAGTCCTCAGTAAAGAAGAAATATTTTTTAGTAACTGCCGACTACATTTCAGCAAGACTCACAGCAGGGTGAGCTAATCACTAGAAATAAAGTCAGCCATGCTGTGAGATGGAATACAAAGAGAGGCTAGTCACAATGGAGTGTTTGCATGTAATCTGGCAAACTTCAGTGATGTCTCACCCTGATGTGATTTGGAACTTTCCAGCAAACTAATAAGCTTTGCAGATTTCACATAATTTTTCTCCCATGAAATTCATTCACATGAAGGAAAGAAAACATTTGGAAAACTGATGCCCACCTGCTGACACTTACATGGGTGTTGCTACATCTTAGCAACAAAAGACTAAATGCACCAAATTCTGGATTATATTTACAATACAACTATTACATTGTTTCCTGGCAGCCTCTAAATTAAACATAAATGTCCGTCAAATTTTAAATATCTTGTATCAGTGCTGTTTTTGTGGAGTTGTCACAGGCATGAATAGTTCAAAAATGGTTCAGAATCAGATTACTGACTTTAATAACCGCTAGCCTACAGGGCACTTATACCCCCTTCCTGCCCAGGCCAATTTCCAGCTTTCAGCGCTGTCGCACTTTGAATGAAAATTGCGCGGTCATGCAGCACTGTACTTATATGATATTTTGATTATTTTTTTGTGACAGAGCATTATTTTGGTGGAATTTAATCACCTCTGGGTTATTTTTTTTTAAACAAACCAAAAACCACTGAAAATTAAAAAAAAACAAAACGTTTTTTCTTAGTTTTTGTTATAAAATTTTGTAAATAAGTGATTTTTTTCTCCTTCACTGATATGCGCTAATAAAGCTGCAGTGCTGGACACTGATAGGCTGCACTGATGGACACTGATAGGTGGCATTGATGAGGAGGCACTGGTAGGTGGCACTGATGGGCATTGACAGGCATCACTGATGGGCACTGAAAGGCAGCACTGATACATGGCACTGATATATGGCACCGATAGGCGGCACTGACTGGCACTGATAGGTGGCACTGACTGGCACTGATAGGCGGCACTGATAGGTGGCACTAATGCGCACTGATAGGCGGCACTGACTGGCACTGATAGGTGTCACTGATTGGCAGCACTGATAGGTGGCACTGATTGGCATTGATAGGTGGCACTGACTGGCACTGATGGGTGACACTGAAAGGCAGCTCAGATGGGCACTGATATGTGGCATTGATGTGGCACTGATGAGCACTGACACAAGGCACTGATAGACACTGACTGGTGGCGCTGCTGGGGCTACACTGATCATCAGGGCACACTGATCATCAGTGCCCTGATGATCAGTGTACATGTCCCCTCCGTGGAAAGCCGATTACTGGCTCTCCTCTCAAGCTGTCAGCGTGACAGCTTGAGAGGAGAGAAATGCCGATAACTGGCATTTCCCTGTTTACATGTGATCAGTTGTAATTGGACACAGCTGATCACATGGCCGAGCCAACATCTTCGGCTCTTTCCATGATCGGTGATCTGCTGTGTCCGAGGGACACAGCGTACCGCCGATCGCCATGCTGCGCGCTCCCCGAGCCGTGCATGCGCGGTGAGAATGGGAGGACGTCATGTGTCCGCCATATTACTATATAGTGGGCGGGAGGTGGTTAAAGAAAAACTGTCATGATAAAAATATGGAATTTGATATTACTGACTTAAGAACTATTACTCTGATGTTTGCTTTAATAGAAAATGAGATTGGTTTACTAAAACTGGAGAGTGCAACATCTGGTGCAGCTGTGCATGGTAGCCAATGAGCTTCTAACATCAGCTTATTCAATTAAGCTTTGACAATAAAATCTGGAAGCTGATTTGTTTCTATGCAGAGCTCCACCAGATTTTGCACTAGTTTAGTTTCTAGTTTTGGTAAATCAACCCCAATGAGTCAATGTCAAGACCCCTGATATGCACATGTCTGTTCCAAGTTAGTGATTTACTAAATAGTGAAGCAGCCATCATGATAACAGCTTTGAATCTTGTTCTCCCGAAAAATGAGATAGTGATAGAAGCTCCTATATCCCCCCCATGCTTTTTACAGACAATAGTAATAAAAAAAATATCCAAACAGGTTTATAGAAAACTACAGTGTAATTTCAGTAAATAACCCTTATATCCCAACCACGGCACCACCTGCCTGGAGTTTGCATGCTCTCCCTCTGCCTGCGTGGGTTTCCTCTGGGTACTCCAGGTTCCACCCACACTCCAAAGACATGCTGCTAGATTAATTGGATCATGTCTAAATTGGCCCTAGTATATGTATGTATGAATGTAAGTTAGGGACCTTAGATTGTACGCCTCTTGAGGGTTAGGGACTGATGTGAATGTACAATATATATGTAAAGCGCTGGATAAATTGGTGGCGATACATAAATACCTGTAATAATAAATAATAATAATATTATTGTAGCATACCGAAAAGTACTTTTTGTTTAGACATGTTTACTTGCCTATCATCTCATGTTTTGCTTCTTCTATTTTATTTACTACCTACTAGAAAAGGTATGTCTGTGCATTGAACAGGGTTTATATTTGCACGCCCCAGTGTTACTGATATTCTCTGTCTATTAATATGATAGTACTTTAAAAATTAGCAGTATAGAGTATATTACTTAAGGCACAGCTTTTAGCGTTTTGTGGAGTATGTGAAACATATTATCACAATGTACAAAATGGAGCAGTCTGGTATACTATATGTCATGAATGTTATAGTATGGAGAGAGCACCTCACCCCCGCCTTAGAGCTCCCATCAGTGGATTGGCAAGGCATCACTTGTCAGGCTGCAGGCAGATCTGTACATCCTGGCCAGCAGTTTTTCTTTTCCCTGGGCAACTTTATAATATAAAACCTCACCCACTTCCTACACATTGCTTTCCTGGTTCTCCCAATGTTTCCACTATGTCATGTGAGAAGATGTAGTTGGAACTACCTCTCGCTTCCATTTCATGGATTTATCTTAAATATAAATGGGAATTTCAAATAATCCCTCTTGTGATCAGCTATGTATCAGTGAATGTAATTATAATGACTGTTGTAACATTTTGGGATGTCTATCTCATTGGTAGATGTGTTTTTCAGTAAGTTTCCGCCAGTCAGGAACTATTTTCAGGGCTTGGTAGCCCAATTTTATTAAAAGGAAAAGCAAAACAAAAGTCCAACATAGGGTTTCCCACACAGGGGTTCTTCTCCAGTAAAATATACACAGTCCAAATGAAAATAGTAGCCCACCTGGCTATTCTTCAGCAGCACTGCTGCTATAGTTACTGGTCCCTGTGACCACCAGCTCTTTCAGGCACACCGCTTACAGCTGCACACGACTCCTCTGGCCAAGTCCTCAGGCCATTAACTCAGATGCACACAGCTCCTCAGGCCGTTAACTGTCTGTTGCAGACCTTCATAATCCGGCTGCTACCTGCAGTCTCTCTGTCTCCTGTAGGAGACCTTCTGTCTCTCTTGGGTGGAGCCCTGAGGTATTCCTAAACCTCCCTTAGAAGGGCTGTGTGCACCTGGGCACACACCCTGCTGTTTCTCCACAAAACCTGGACACTGGGTTGAAGATTCCATCCCGCCCAAAGCACTATGTAATCTCTGAAGTAGGGAGCCCCATCCAGGATTACCAACACCTGGAGAAAGCTGCAAATGCAGTTTTCTCCATTCAGAACATATGCTCCCTTGTCCTCCACTAGGCAAAAGTGCAAACCCTGTGTCCTTTTGATGACCAATTTCACCATAACAGAGTCTCATCCTGTCACACTGTTTGGATGAGCTCAACACTGTAGAGTCTAACACAGACCTGATCCATAAAGTGGCTTTGAGAGTAGTGAGAAACACCATTATTGTTCTGTATTACTAAGCAGGAAAGTGATCCTGTATAAACATTGAGTATAGATGACTCTGAGTAAATATTTCTTCTGCTGGAGGACTTTGGAAAACAAGTTGGTACTAAACAACAAGGTCATTGGTAGGACAAGCTAGATAAGAACCATGATATGGTCAACTGGTAGGATAGGCAAGCACATATGTTTTTTAAAAGTTATTTTATTACTTTTTTTTTGTTTATTCTAAACCAGGTTACAGTTTTACTGTCACAGAACATTCCATGTGCAGCTTGGACTTGATGCAAAAACTATGGCATCAAATACTGTACATATTTTGTATTATTATTGCGTGCCACAGTGTGTGATACTATTGTTAGGTTCATCAAAGAAAAAAGTTTCACTAACTGACAACTTTTAATTATGTGTTAAAAAATTTCCCTTACGATGTTAACACATATTTTAAAGTACTTTATCATGGTGTAAAAAAGTAAACTGTGATTGTTAGCATTTTGTTACTGATGCTAGCAGATGAAAAGTTAGCATCATACAGATAAAGATAATGGTCATCTTACAAAAGTGGGGCAGAACATTTAGAAATTCCTGTTTTAGAAAAAAAAATTCCACTTCCCAAGAGATACCGGCTTGGTAAGCATGTCTTTAAAAAATGGACATCCTTCTGAAAGTACCATAACTTGATACCTATGGGCACTGGACTAAAAATCAGACATGCTTGAATGCAGGTTTATATGTAAATTGCTTGTCCTCTGTATAGGAAAATGAGTTTGCTACCCTCTATGGATAAACTGTAAAACAGGCTGTGTAAAAACATTACCAAAACATATCTGGAATTTTTTACTGACTTTGAATACTTTATTTCTTTCATTGAACAGATCCATGTTTGCTATTTCTGTATATCAATACTTTCTTGCTATCCATCCTTAACCACCTCCCGTACGGCTGTTGTATATAAATGGCCGGACGGTGGCACTGCACGATCGGGTGGCCATTTATAAATGGCCTCCCCGCACCCTGCTTGTGCGCGCTCCCTGGGAGCACGCAGCACCGCGATCTGGACACAGTGAAACACCGATTGTCGGTCGGGACCTCTGTACGAGGTCCCGATCATGTGATCACTGATTGGCCAATCAGTGATCACATGCAAAGTAGTAAGCAAGATGTCACTTCTGACATCATTGCTTACTACGTGTGAAATCTGTGAATGATCACAGAGGTCACATGGTACAAGGCTATTCACAACAGCCTTGTACCATGTGACAAGGTGTGACCAATCACAACTCACTCAGTAGTTCTCAATGGCTGCAAGAATGCAGACAGAAACATAAATTATTGCTTTTACATTCTATATGGGTATAAAAGCAATCAGTGTAAAAAAAAAAAAAACATCACCCCCCACAAGTAGTACAGTGTCACCATGTACTGTACTGCTAGGGTGACAGTATATATATAAAAAAAAAAAATAATATATAAAAAAAAAAAAAAAATGTAAAAAAAAGTTTTGGTTATAAACTAATTTGGCTTATTTTTTTTTTTTACTAAAAAGATAACGGAATACATTTTGGCCAAGATTTATGATGAAATATTATTTATTTACAAAATTTTATAAGAAAAACACTTTTTTCAAAATTTTTGGACTTTTTTATTTACATAGAAAAAAAAATAAAAAATCCCAGCGGTGAATAAATACCACCAAAATAAAGCTTTATCTGTCTCAAAAAAATGGTAAAAAATTCATATGGGTACAGTGTTGCATGACCGCGCAATTGTCGTTCAAAGTGTGATAGCGCTGAAAGCTGAAAATTGCCCTGGACAGGAAGGGGGTAAAAGTGTCCGGACAGGAAGTGGTTAATGCTGAATCCAGTACCATCTTATTTCTAGATGTGTTTAAATATAACAGGTAGCATATAGTTTATCTGTAGTTAGTAAGGCAATCTTTTTTTTCTTTGGAATAATCTTGGCATAGACTTGAAAGGATCACTGGTGATCATAATTATGTACAACATACAATTTCCAAATAATAATTAAAAAAATATATGCTTTGCCACAAAGTTGCAAGCACTCACAGAGCACAAAATATAATCTACAGATCCATAAAATTGTCTATAAAATAAAGAAGTGTTGTAATTCCATTGTAGTTGCCTGCACTTTTAGGCAGTGTACCCACTGAGGTAAGAAGGTCACACATGACATGCCTTGATTAATAAACTATGAAAGGTTTATTACATAAGCAATTATATGTTCTGTTTTATTATTGTTAATTTTATTGCAGTAGTATGAAAGGTGCTAACTTGATTACTGTTTCTTTGTGAAACGGGCCTTTGGGAATGCAGTTATATATTGTTTGACTCAAAATTCTTGCGCTTGGGGTTGTGTATATAACTCAAGGACAGCCATAATAAAAACAGGTTTTCACTAATAAAGCTAAAGTCCATATTCCTAGTAGAGAATATATCACATTTTAAATTTTTATGCTTTTTTAAGTGTTTGGGATATGCGTAAGTAAGAAGAAAAAGTGCCTATAAGCAGCACAAAAATGCCATCTGAGAAATTTGTGGCATTTTCATCTAATGCTATTAAATTGTTAATTGGATTTTGCATTTCA